CACATCTTCTGCAATGATGCTTGCGTCTAAATAATGCATTAAACTTATTATCACACATTCCACATTAATTTATTTCTTAATCTTCCTTCCACTTTTTTTTAGGAATTAATTCATTTTTTATTATATCAAATCGTGAAGCTGATTTCATAAATTTATTATTAAAAAACACAATATATCACATATTTGAAGCAAATTGTAATTCATCATATATTCATGGAGAATTAGCTGATGATATGAATCGTAGGTTATAACATCGTAATAATTTTATTATTTTTATCTATAAATCAAATATGAATGGGTGCTTTACCAAACTTTTGATTAAAATATTCTATATTCTCCTGTTGCAAGTCTTTTACTTATTATTTCAATCTCTTGATATTTTGTAGCATCTCTTTTTCAGAAAGAGGTTGCTAAGAATTAACTCTTTAAATTTCTTAAATTCTTCTTTTGCAATGTTTTGCTAGTAATTACAGATGATTTTTTTCTCGATCATGCCAAATCTTATTCAGTTCGAATAATAGGATTTCTAGAAGTTCATCAATCTCTAATTCATTTTTTGTTTTCAAGTATTTATCTTTGAAAGCTTAAGCAAAATTGAATGCATCTCCAGGAACATACAATAATTTATCATCCAAATTGTATAACGGATTGCAGCATGGACGATATTAATAAAATTCTCTATTACAATTTTTGCAGAGATCAAAGGTTAGATTTTGAGGTTTTATAGGATATTTGATATTTTTAATTATTTTTAATTGAACAGAGTTTGGATTATATTAATAAATTCCTTAATTTTCTAAACTAGGAGTAAACCCAAGAAGTTATGTATATATCTAATTCTCTGCTCTCAAATGTTCTAATTCAATCCTAAATTGTGCCTCAGCTCCCATTGTTTATTAGAGTTCATCAACTCTATTTTATAACGTTTCTTTTCTTGATTTCTATTTATCAATTTCTAATTCAAATTGTTATATTTTTTATTATGTTCCACTGCATGCTAAATTAGAGATAGATACCATAGCTTTTAATTTTGAAATTTCATTATTTTTTTATTCTAATTCTTTCTTAAGTTCTAAAATTACCTTATCCTTTTCATATATTTAAAAGTTTTAAAATTGAGTTAATTAACCACTCATTTCTACTCCTTCGGACGATAAAAGTAATTATTTATGTTCATTATTGGTGATTTTTTACAAATTTAATTGATCAATTAAAAATTTACATCTCTGACTTATTGTTTCAACTTATTCATTTAATGACCTAATTTTAGATTCAAGTTTCTTATTTTCCTTCATTACTTTTTTATTTTCGATTAGAGTTTGGGTAAGTTTCTCTTCTAATTATTTCATTTATATATAAATAAAAATAATAAAATTAATATGTGAACTAATGCTGGATTTTAATTATTCATCAACTTATGTACTGAGTGAAATGGGTTGCAGATATTTTATTTTTTTTAATGATTCAACTATCCTTTCTACATTTTTTTTATTTATCAAAAATATCAGAGATAATGAGTAGGTAATAATTTTGTACCCAAATTAATTGATTCATTCTTCCGAATTTTAAATAAAATAATCTTACAACTTATAAATTGTATCATAATTATAAAAGAAAACCAAAAATATTAATAATAAACTTTAAAAAAATAATTGGATGCAATATTATTTATATTCATAAACAATTTAGAAAATATTTTAGGGGATTGTTATAACTTTTAGATAGCAAAGCATTAAATTGATGCACTTTTCTCAATTGAATTCTAGAATAGTTTCAATTATATTTTTGTAAGCATACTATTTATAAAAGTATGAATATTTAATTAAAGAAATATTTTGTTAATTTTTAAATAATTCCCATTTATGTTTTAGATTAAGAATTGTCTCTATAAAATAAACTAATAAGAAATGTACTTTAATTGTATTTTTTTATATGGAGATACAATACATAAATATAATTGGTTTAGATTTCTAAAATCAAATTTTATAAGGTCGTCATTAATATTATTTCCATCATTGCATTAAAAAATAAATATTTGGAAAATATTTATTATTGAGAATATTTACTAGAAAGATTATTTGAAGTCTTACCTTTTTCAAAAACTTACCAACTAATTAAATTGGGATAAAAAATTTTTGATTATTTTCATATCAGAAGAGGAGAATCTTTAATTTATATTATTTTTTTTTTTCTGCTGATGTTAAGATGCAAGAAATAGAAAGTAGTATTATTTGAAATTTATTCAAATGACTTGTTCCTGGTTTAGCGAAAATATATCAAAAAAAGGTTTGTATAACGGATTTATTTAAATCATATGCAAACAAATTTAAACTATATTTATAATATTCATTTTTTTTTAGGTTTGCTAATTTAGATTAACGTTTACTAATTTATACATCAAATTTAGAATACACAATGTGATATTGCAGAAGGAGACTTTTACTTGCATTAATAAAATTGGTTTAGCTTGTAAGAGATTAGAATTCTAACAAATTTCTAATTACATTAAACTCTAAGTCATATTAATTTTAACTAAATTTAAGGGAATCCTTGCTTTGTGCTTATATCATTTCAAATTGAATTTAATATCATTTTTTTTTATCTTCACTACAAATTTATTTAAACATATTATGGACATTATTGTTGTGAGTTCAACTTTGATTATTTTAGAAGCATACCTGAAGTACTATTATTAAGGTAATCGATTCTAGAGTTATTTAAAATATAAATAGAAATTAAGATTTATGTATTCATTTTTGTAGTAATTTTCTCCACTTATATAATAATAATACCAATGAGTACCTCCCTAATGAAATTCTTTCATAATTTAGCTGAATAATAAATGTGCCGCAACTGGTTGTTTTATTTTAAATCATATAATTATTTGATCTAAAACTACTCGCTTTAATTAAAATATTTATGTAATTTTTTCAAAGCGATTTTGAAAACAAAGGAGGGTTAAAATAATTACATAGTAATACGCTCGCATTAACATGTTTTTTTTGCTACTGACAGTTATCCGTATGAAGCAGTTAATTCAACAATAATATAAAAAAAGAATAAATTCAGGTGAGTATGAAAAGATGAAAGACTTTATTATACATTCAAAATAAATTAAAAAAAATAATAGTTCAGTTTGGAAAAAAAAATCGTTCAAAGCAAGAAACATAAGAAGAAAAATACTAAAAATATAGTGAAAGATTATAATTTGCAGATTAAACATTACCGGTTCAGCCTATTATAATGACAAAGGTGAAGTGAATTTGAAAAATTTCATTGCTACTTTATTAATTACTTATATATTTGTAAGAAATAATAGAATAAATGAATAGATTTGAGGAAGCATTAGGCTATTTTTTTAGGCTATTGATAAACACCCTGAAAATTGTCATTTTTACAATAACAAAGGTAGATATATTTTACGCTATTTTGTAGCAAATATTTTATTGTAGCAGGAGTTTTGTACTAAAATTTAAATAAAAATGAAGAGATCTAAAGAAGCAATAAAATGTTATGAATTAGCTATTATGAAAGATCCTGAAAAAATCTGTTTTTACTCTAATAAAGGTATGAAATTTAAAGCTTAACCTTTATTTTATCTTATAAGTAATTATTATTTTAGAATAATTGAAAAAATTTGAAGACGAAGAAGCTTTGGATTATTATGATTTAGCTATTGAGAAAACCCCTGAAGAATTGGAATATTATGATAATAATGGTATTATTATTTTTATTCATTTCTAAGAGGATACATTATAGTATTTGTATAGATTTGATGAAGCTTTGCAATATTGTGATTTAGAAAGCCCTAATGATTCAAGACATTACAATAACAAAGGTATTATTAACCTTATTGAACTTATAGCAAATACTTTAGATAAATTGAATAGATTTGGAGAAGCATTGGATGATACTGATCAAGCCATTTCTAGAATCCTGACAACTCAATCTATTATTTTAATAAATGTAAATA